AATACACGACGGCAGCACAATAGTGTGTACAATAGCTCGACCGGAGTGTGTACCCCGTCCAAAACAAACCACCCGGCCACCAACACGATTGCACCCGAAGATTTTTTTCTCTTTATGGCGGCACTCACGTTTTTCCCCGTTGGGACCTTCGCCGGTTTCCTTGGAACCGCCGTGAAAACCGTAGCACGACCACGAAAAATATGATAAAAAACTATCTCCGCGGTAAAAAATGTGCACCGCACAGGCTTGTCCTCGTCGAGTGCAGTGCGTTGAGCATACACGAGCCCGTCGCATCGTTATCGTGTTCACACTTCACCCGTTCGGCAAAAGGCAAACAACGGTACACTTTTCAAACGAGCCGAACATTACCCGGCAAGGTGCGCGTATTCCTTTCCCGGGTGTTTGCGTTTCCCCCGCCCTCCAATGGAACGTGACGACCAGTTGTATTAAAAATACCCGAGTAATTGAACTGTTGACCGGCTCGGTTTCTCGAAAACCGTGTCCTTAAGCCTAAAAAAGTCTTATACCGATTATATGTCCGGACACACGGAGGAGCGTCTAACAAGAGGACACATAAAATGTTCGTGTGCGCCGGTTAAACACAACTTATTACAAATGGGAAATCGATCAGATAAACACAAATCAGTGTGAGTCGTTATCTTTATTGGAACAACGGCGGTTTTTATCGTAATTAACCATTATTGTGACAAATGAAATGTTGCCGAACAATAATCATTTTCTCGCTCGTTGTACACCACCGCGAACTCTCACACGCAGTACGGCGCATCGGCCTAAATGTATAGATGAACTTTAAAAAAGCCAACTGGTTGACTGCCAAAATAGAAATATCTGTTGTTGTGCATCGCTATTTTCACGCGCAAAACTGTATTAAAGTCCGATCGTCTTGACTGCATCGAGTTATGCGTATTACTTGGGATATGTGGACCCTTTTGCGACCGACCGTATTCATTAGCAGTGTATATGCCAATAACAGTACAACAATAGTGTTCACTTAATGGCACCCCGCGGACGTATCAATTTGTGAGCAGGCGGGGCGACCTTTAACCGACGTAAAGGTCATGGACTGAGGGACCGTTGTTACAGCGAGTGTTTATATGTGTGGTGGCGAAGGGCGGCGTTATTCATTAATCATTAGGGTCGAGGGTCGCTGTTCTATGGTGTACATAGTACAATTATGCAACCGCGGCACTAGTTTAAACCAGAAACGGGGGGAAAAAAGTAACACTACAGTATAAGTTCTTAGGCGCATAATGATACAGTTTCAACGAATGTATATTTGCGTTGGTGGCCACTTGTTGTAAATAGAGCACACCCTGGAGAGATGTTTTGAAGGGTAGTTTTCCCTACTAGCGTAGACGATCCAGTCGACAACTTTTGTACCATAAAAGTTTGATGTACGAATTTTTCGTATTTATCAGCAAACCGTATAAAATTGTTTTTTTTAATTAAGGCGTGGCCTATCTAAATAAGCAATTATTTTTTGGTTCGCTTACACAGCATACGATTCTATTTAAGTCTTCGACTAGACGTATTTTTTTTTTTTGAAACCTATTTCACAAACTAAACGAAGCATTTTTTAATGAAAATCCGTTGCAGTCTGGTGCAACCAAATTTAATTAAAACTACAACACGTGGCGCAGTTGTTGTTCGTGAGAATACTACGTATTATCTTGGAAATCGACCAGCCGAAGCCGACCGCTGTCATGTCCGAGGTAAGGGCCGAGGAATCTCGAAGCATTTGTTGTTTTCAATTATAATCAAAGGACTCGGAGCGCGACACAACGCCGGTGGCCGCTAATATTTTAACGGTAACTTCCAAACGGTAATATTTCACCACGTGTGTGCCGCCGCCGCCGTCGAATTTGATATATTTTATAACGCTTAACGATACCGTATTATAATAATTATAATAATAATAATAATCTTCTTCTCGGCTAGGCCGAATAATTACCTTGCCCGGCGTGTCTATACTACCGAGTACACCGTTTAAATAATTTATTATATTGTTGTACAAACTGGTTTCACGTACGTGTCACCTTCTTGTTATTGTTCATTTTATAACGCCAGTTCGAAACTCGCGCGTATTAATTAGTCGAACATATTCATTGGGTATTTTTATGGTATTTCATCTGCATTCGAATCTGACAATACGACTGTCTGTTTTTATTGAACTCTGCAGACTACTCGAATCGGAACTAGAACTGACCTAAATTACCGGTAAAACGTTGCCCGGCCGTGTCACCGAGTACCCAAGACGGTTTACATTGTGCGGTTTCATTAACCGAATTTAGGATGGGAAATACTGGCGCGGATTAATTGATAACAAAAACAAACACGTTCTAATGCAAGTGCTCTCGGAATGCCATCACCAAACAAACCAAATATAACGGAAGATCGAGTGGTCGGGAAGAGAAAAAAATAGAACTGGTTTCAAGCGCACACAACCGCCGGATATACTCGATACAACTCGTCTCACCTTGGCCGCTATATATTTTTAAGCACATGTCCCATTACTAGATGTTCTGATTATTTTCGCCCGTCATAATTGCATTTGACTGAGTTTGTGCCGACGCATTCGACCGTTCAGGGCCGTCGCCCAACATGATCCGGTTACTTGCGTGCGATACCCGACTGCTGTTGGATAGACCGAAGACAACCTATTGGTTGTGTATTATTCAGAAGTATCCAGGAGAAACAATCACGAGGATCGTGGAAAATTCTCCGCGGTAATTAATGTGGAAAAATGCAGACAGCTCAGTACAGAGATATAATACAGTTGTTTGCAATAAGACGTTGTGCAGGTATATAGACCACAATGAGTCATGAGTGGCAGAACAATACACGTCGACGAGGACCGGTGTGGGAACAGCCACATATTCGCAAAACACATTTTAATAGTTCATTTATTATGACCCCGGGTGTGCGTATTACAATTAAATGTAGCAGTTGTTTGAACGCGACAAAAAAGAAAATCGGTCGATTTCTGTCATTTACGTTGATCGTTATTAAGTGTACAATATCTGAATAGTCGAGAGCACACCACGTGAATAGGTTACAATGCGTTATTATCGTTTTGCTATAATCTCGTCATGACAAGTCACTTGTATTTTATCAGAGTTAAACTGCACAATAAAGCAAATCATTTATGCATAGGCAGCGGAGTAAAAAAATTCAATTTCCGTTTGAACCGCGTGTTATCGGCCAACGTTTTAGTATCACGATTAATTAGATACCTGTGTCGTGTACAGACAAAATGATTATGCTTCCGGTACGTTAAGTATTTCTCTCGAGTAAAATGTACGGAATAGTTAAAAATATCTAATGTTTTAATCGGAAGAATTTTGTATTAGAAAATCGAGCTAATTCCTGATTTTATAACTGCAAAGCAAAATATTGTTTACGTGAATGTGAAGGACATTTCCTTAGAGTTATATTTGTATATAAATATATTGTGTCTTATCCGTCCAAAACTATTTAACCTGTAAAATATTTGCCGTTTTTTTCATTAAAGAAAGTAAGATTTTTTTTTTTGGATTCCAATAGCGTTTTATTTCATATCAATAACTCACTGTCAATAACATTCGAAACGTTATAATGTACACTAGCCGAGTTGGCCATGTGTAATAAAAAATACTACACAGTGCGTGTACTCTACAAACATTGAACTCTGCGAAAACCCTTTTCAAAGTACGAGCACGTATGCTTTACAATAATACTGAAAACTTTTACGCTTCGAGTGTTTCGTTTCTTACATGAAAAATAAATACCAAATAGGACCATAATTATTGTATAGTGCACATCTTCAGAGTTGCCCTACGGAGGAAACGGAGAGTGAAATTCGTACAACATTTTTGCCTTTCTGTCGATGTGAAAAAAAAAAAAAACTAATCTTATTTTAAACGTAAATTTCTATGCATTGAAAAATAATAATAATAAAAAGAAATAACGACATTAGTGGAAACAGGACTGTATGTATTATTTTCTACATACAGAGGCTCTGTTGATAAGTAAATCACATATTATACAGTTCGGTGTGTTTGTGGTATTCGATTCGTTATGCGTATGACGAATACCCCAAACATGTGATGAAAATTGTCGAGAAATATCAATTCTGACACAGGCCATTGGCATTTACATTAAAGGTTTCAAGAATAATTAATTTCGGTCAAAGGCTTCGGATGCATCGCGCAGAAATATTGTACTCTGCATTTGTTTATGTCATCGCAGAATATATCTAATGCGATTATAATGAATTACAAACATATTTCTTTGACGGCGAGAGTAGCCGTCAAAGGTCGTAAAACGAGTTATGTGCAGTATCGTAAACACTTTAATAAAATTAGCAATCAACCGCCGATTAGACGTATAAAAGAGACATGTGTTGCGTTAGTGTGCATTTATCGATTTAAATTTTTTCCCTATAAAATTCAACTCGAGTGTTGGCTCACTGGGTAATGGCTGTCAGATAGCAATTGTAATTTTATGCGTTTTGACCTCTTCCGTTGCGTTCGTGTACAGAATTTTTTCATTAAACCAAAGTTTATGATTTTATACGTCAAATTTATTTTTCATTTTTATAGGGCAACGGGGAAAAACGACCACACGCACATAATGTAAGTACGAGACCAAAAACGCCATATATAAGTTATGAACACCAATATTGGACGCAAGATGGTTTTTATGCGAAATTATAAATTTATTGATTTTTAATCCTCTACAAATAGGTTAGAAAATTATTTTTCAATCAGTCGGGTAACGATTTGAAAGTACACACGTACAATTTTTTGTTTGCATCTTACCAGTTTAAACTCGTTTATAGAAATTTCAAGGTACGATTAATAAAACGAGAAAAGTCAATTTTACACATAAAAACTTTTACATCGGCGAACAAAATAAATGTATTTATTCGAAAAAAATATATTTTAATTATATAGATATTTTTTGGTCGTTCGTGTATTTAGAAAAAAATGTTTACTCACCGAAAAACGAACTTTTTCCTGTGTTTTATCCACACGTAACGAGGGGTGTTCCCGTCAGCTGGTACCCCTGACAGAAAATTTGCCCGCCGATATCCAAAAGTCTATCTGCGGCCAGTGGCTTCGGACAATTGGTACTATTGTTCTCTGTCGATATGAATACTATGAATTTATATTATATACTGAGCGACAGTGACGCGTATACGAGAGTGATCTTCCAGTTGCAAGCGGCGGCGTTACCGGACAACGAACCGACGACCACTGATGATGGGCACCGGTGTTCTTCGTCGGAGCAGCTCCTCTTCACGCGCGCTCACACACACGCGCCAGCTCACTACTGTACTACACTTCCCCTACCACCCCTTTTGGTGGCACCTCTTGGTACTGTGCGCGCGCGCGCTCGAGGGGGGAGCACGATGGCTTGTCGCCCGAGACACTTTCCGTGACCTCCCACCCGTGCCCTCGTCGTCTCTGTCAAGTTCAAGATCGGGCGGAGGCGACACACGCAGATTTACGTTGCACGGCACTTTACTATATCACTAATATTGGTATCGCATTAAAGCTACCCCCATGAGGCCATACTGGACATCTGTAAAGGGCTTGCGCAATAAAGTGCATAAACAATAATATTGTCTACGTGTACAACGTTTTACACAGACCGCGATGTTATCGGTAAAAAACGCCGCAGCATCCCACCACTATTGCCGGTGCATCGGCAACCTATTGATTTTTGAACATTACACGGGGTGCACGATGCATAGTAAACGCGATGTCTGTCTAGTACCGGTACCAGTTGACTTTTCATTGTCTAGTAACTTCCACAGAAATATTCCAGTGGAACACATCCATAAACGCGATAAAAAAGGCGCCTAATCAGCATACTTATCTTAATTTCTAAATTCATTTAAAATAAAAACTCGACGAGGTAAATGTACGTGATTAATGCTGAAAATCAAGAAAGATTTAATGGGTATGGCGAAAGCTTAACTTCAAAATTAGTCCGGAAACAAAAGTGAAATAAACAAAGGAGGGCAGCTAGAACACTAACTAGCGGGGGGGGGGGGACAAAAAGTAATTAGATTGCTCATTTTATGTTATCCGGACGTCTCAAATGGACTAGATAGAATTTTCAAGAATTTTGATATTACTTAACAACTAAAAGTAATAATTTCAGAAATTTATTAGGTAGCCCTAAAAATATAGTAGAACAAATGCGAAAAGTGAGCATTTATAAAACACAATGTGAAAGTTGTAATAAATGTTACGTAGGACAAACAAAAAGCAATATAGGGGTCAGTTTCAAAGAACACTTAAGAAACATTAAAAATCAAGATATTGATAAATCTATTTGTGCTGAACATTTACCGACACATAATCGCCATTAAAACCTTAAAACTAATTGAAAATGTAAATAATTACAAAGAACTTGACATAAGGGAAGTATAATAGAAATATTTAAGAATAGGAACACTTTAATGAAAAATGTATTATTAAACTTGTGTAAACTAGCAAAATGTGATAATATTCTCTAGAAAAGTAATATTTTACGAAGAAGGCTGTTTTTAATTAGGAAAATTCTACAAAGTGATCTGGGAAATTTAAATAGCAACGACCTATTAAGAGGTCAAATCATAAACTATTGTGTGTTCTCGATTATTGATCAGCTCATAAAGACCACATAATAATAAAATTGTCGGACCGTTTCAAATTGATACCGTTTTATTGTTTGTTACTATAATTTAACATTGGACAATTTGTAATAAATTATTGACAATTTTAGTTGCTTTAAAAATCTAACAGTTTATATATATATAAATAATGTGTTTGTATAATATTAATGGCTTTTTTTGAAATTTAGAAATTGAATATTTGATAGCGGTATTTCGAAATAGTTGTCAATTTAAACCTTGGAATATATTGTTTATATCAGTAAAAATACTACCAATTAATAAATATTACCAGAAAACATTCATTCGAAATTGTTTTACGTAACTTGAGTATTTGACATGTGGGTACAAATTGTACTCGACTAAAAACTATTTTTTTGTGGTATGCGTGACCACTATTTGATCTCGTTAAACTGTCACACTTTACTTACATCACAGTGACCCGTTGAACAGTTTGAGTGATCATTATTTTCTAAATCGTTTGACACAAAACTGTTTCAACAATAAATAGTAGGAGTACATATTAATCAATCGCAATGGTTAAGAAATATTTTCGTTTTTTGACAAGTCAGTGTGAATTCACTTCAAATATAATTCATGTATTTTAATTGTCATAAATCATCGGAAAAAAATTTATTACGACTCATTTCGTTATCAATATAATGTTATCAACTTGAATAAGTACTATAATAATTAATTAGTTTTCTAATTTTTCATTTGGTTATAGATACCTATGTTAAAGTTTTGTTTATGGAAGCTTAAAAAAATTTGATAAAGTATAATATTATATTTATAAATGTGTGAACGATTTTGCAGTGTTGCACTGCAATATTACTTTGAAAATAGATCTTTTATGTGATTGTACAAAAGTAAAACTATTATTGTGTATTGTATGAAATAAAATTTGAAACCTTTCCCCGCTATATAACTAATATGGACATTTTTTCGATAAATCGCCAACAGGGTTTAATTTTTTTCTGATTGTTTAACTGAGCGTGTAAAGAAAATAGAACAGCTACAAATCAAAACGAGTTTAAATCGCTTTTGTCGATACAAATGACAAGTGTAAGGTTTTTTTACTATTAGTTTCTTTTTGTCATACATCTTTTTTGTTGGTAATTAGTTAAGAAATGTTAATTGATTATACATATAATCGGTAAATAACTCGTATAGATTGCACACTTTAGACGTTATAACTGTTCTTAGTCTATTTTACTTGAAAATTTATTAATTTTCATAAATTTCGTGTTAAAATTAAACCGCACGAACACATTCTTTTCGTTAGTTCGCTATAGTAATAATAATAATAAATTTGTCGTTTAAATGTCAATTATTGCGTGACGTTGTTCGGAAATGGCAGAATCCCCTCCGTGTTTCTCACTTATTTGTTCATGAGATATTCGCGTATAACTGTACTAAGCACATTATGTGTAATATTGAATTTGTGCAGCGATTTTAAAGATAATAAAATCGTATTAACCGGCGGCCATAGCTTTGAATGGATAATTTAAATTTTATTCATGAAATGTCCTACTCTGAACTTGTAAATAACCGTCTAATCGTTTTAGGATACTCGAAGATCTCGCCGTACGATTAAATAATAGAAAAATTCCATAGGCTCCTACGTGATGATTGTTTTATGATATACTTGGAAAACACAGATACACACTCTCGCCCAGTCCGATATTAGTAGACATCTTCGGGCGGTGCATTATTAGACC